ACACTCACCCCAGGACACAAGGAACAACACTCACCCCAGGACACATGGAACAGCACTCACCCCAGGACACAAGGAACAACACTCACCCCAGGACACAAGGAACAACACTCTCTCCAGGACACAAGGAACAAGACAGAAGCTTCAAGTCTTGCCTCTCAACTCTCCCGGGATCAGAAAAGTATATAAATATAAGAAAAGAGCGGAGAAAATACTTCAAAGCAATATTGTAGAAAGGTTTTCGATGGGAGATAATCTGGTGTCGAATTACTAGTGCAGAACTGCAGCGTGTATGAGAGAAAGAGAGAGAGAGAGAGAGAGAGAGAGAGAGAGAGAGAGAGAGAGAGAGAGAGAGGTTAAACCTCTCCACTAAGTGGCACCAGTCACTGGATGAATCCAAAGTCAGCTGTGTGGTAGCACTGGACATTGCTGGCGCTTTCGACCGGGTGTGGCACCAGGGCCTCTTAGCAAAACTTCAAGCACTGGGAATTGCAGGCTCTACGCTATGTCTCCTCAGTGATTACCTTCATGGTAGATCTCTAAGTGTAGTCCTCAATGGAACGGAATCACCAAGACATCCTATTGGGGCAAGTGTTCCACAAGGAAGCGTGTTGAGACCATTGTTATGGAATGTCTACTTCAACGACCTTCTTCATCTCATCCCAGAATCACATGCATATGCAGACGACTGTACACTGACATTCACTTATCCAAGAGAAGAAATGCCAGCTGCTCTAAGCTACATCAATCATCAGCTGAGAGCTATATCAGCTTGGGGAAATAGATGGCAAGTAACATTTGCACCTGAGAAAACGCAAATGATGATCGTCTCTAGGCACCATGATGGTAATGCTGGCGCAGTAGTAAGGATGAATGGGAGGGTATTGGCACCTGGAGAAGAAGTTGATATCCTTGGGGTGAAATTTGACTCCAAACTAACCATGAAGAACCATGTTGTAAATCTTGCAAACAAGGCAACCAGGAAGCTTACAGCACTTCGCCGTATCTCGCATCTGCTTGACAGTAGGAGTTGCAAGATTCTGTACGAGGCACATGTACGCTCACACCTTGAGTATGCTCCACTCTCTTGGTTTGCCTGCACCCCCCCCCTCTCATCTGCGACTGCTTGACAGAGTAGAGAACAGAGCAAGACGTCTCATCTCTCGCCTGGACCCATCCTGGATAGATCTGTCATTTCAGCAGAGCCTTTAACACAGGAGGGATGTGGGTGGCCTTACTGTTATGTACAAGGCCAATATTGTCAAAGTAACACACTTGGATCCACTTCGAGGACAGCGTGAAACAAGCTTTTATGCCACAAGACGGGCAGAAAGCAGCAACTTCACTCTGGCTGTACCCTTCTCCAGAACATCACTCCATCTGAGATCATATATACCCAGGATGACTCGAGTATGGAACACATTCGTACAGCATAATGATATCAACGAGATAAAGTCAGTTGATCAAATGAAAATGCTGGCCTACAGATGGCTCCAACTTCATCCTGTTCCCTACTTGTATGTCTCATAACAATAAAAATGCTTTCAAATGAGCTGATGTAGGTAACAGCTCTTAGCTTGCCAATAAAGTTAGGAATCCTTAACCTGTAAATAGCTTGTCAATAAAGCTAGGGATCCTTAACCTTGTCAAACCCTGTGTAAAAGAGAGAGAGAGAGAGAGAGAGAGAGAGAGAGAGAGGGGAAGAGAGAGATGAGAGAGGGAGGAGAGAGAGAGAGGAGAGAGAGAGAGAGAGACAGAGAAGAGAGAGAGAGACGGGGGAGGGAGAGAGAGAGTTTTTTTTTTTTTCATTCGAATAATATTTGCTCAATGAAATGCCTTTCATGTAATGTTTATTCTCGCTGTATCAGGCAGGACCCTTGAGACACACTTTCTGCTACAAATGTCGCAGGAGCAACAACGCTCTCAGAGGCACAAGGCATCAAACGTTCGCTCAGTGTGGGGACCTTAAAACTTGGAGCTTTCAGAGCCAGAGAGAAGGCAGCATGGGGGAGAGGCTCGACGTTTTAAGCGCCTCCGCTCAACAAATCCCTCTCAGTCTTAGTCGCTGTATACCGCTAGGTGCTTTGAACGACGAAATAGTTGACTGGAAAGTCGTCTTTGATGAAAACACGTGTCAGCGAGGGCAAGAAATCTTTCAGATATTGCTAGGACGATTCTTTGTCTAGTTTTCTAAAAGTGAGAGACAAAAGAGAGATAAAGTATTGATAGAAAGAATCTATCTAGCTTTAAAAAGCTGCAATTAAAGAGAAATACAGGCAGATGGGTGAAGAGAAAGATGGAAGGACGTAGACGGAGATAGAGTGGTCAGAGAAAGAGAAAAATAAAAGCACATTATTCCACGATTTCATGTAGTTAGAGGAAGTTGGAGGGACAGCCTCGGAGGAACACGCGAGAGTTACCTCAAGTTGGACACACTCGACTTGGAACGGTGGAAAAACAGACCAAAAAACTCATCTTATTTCCATGAACAGAGGTATTCATGAAGCACTGCATCATAAGGAACAGAGTCACATTACTCCTTATCCTTCTCCTCATCTCTTCCTCCCCTTGTACTTCATCTCATCCTCCTCCTTTCTTTCTCCTCAATCCTCTCTAGTCCTTGTCTTCCTCTTCCTCATCATCCTCTGTCTGCCAGAGGTTGTGTGATGTTCCCCTTTGGTAATACTCCTGGGATAAACCCACTTTGGCCTCTACCTTCCCAGGTTATAAGGAACATATTACAGAGTTTTTTTCTCGTAGTGTGGGTTAAGACGCTGGTGTTGGGCTTCGAACCGGGAGGACTGGGCGGATTTTTAAGAAACTTACCATCCTGTAGGCAGCTTAAGAAGAAAAACTTATTTTCCGATATTGTTACAGCCTTTACGAATCGCTGGTGTTAGAGAGCTCTTGAGTACCCGAGAGTTTTGTGTACTGCTCCATGAACCTGTATACAAACGCCTTACAACATTATAGAGGAGAGTTAAGCCAGGGAGGACATGATCACGACGTGCAAGATACTCAAGAGGACTCTCATAGGGGAGACAGAAAACGATTGTTTGAATGGAGGGGACAGGACACGAGGAAATTAATGAAACAAAGGAATGACATCACTTTAGGAAGTATATAATCCGTTTGTTGGAATGACCTAGATGAGGGAAAACTTGGAAACAGGTTTATTGCACTGTTTTAATAGTCATGATTGGTTCCTGTTTAACTTGGCAGTAAATAAGTAAACTTGTGTGAGTACGCAATTATGAGATGCTTCCTAAGGCAAAAAAAGAGTCAAAGACAATCATTGCTTTACTCATGTAATTACTATAGGGAATATAAGTAACTACACACATACATAACGCAGTTAGAGAGAGAAAGAGAAGACCAGAATACATCTTCTGAGGGAAGCAACTCCTGACAGTGGATAAGGAAAATAAAGTATAAAATGGCACAGTACCCTGACTGGAACATTAAGGGTGATAATCTCAGGATGACTATCTCAGAGACAGTGTTTTCAAAGGCACATGCCGACCACATCACATCAGTAGCGTACACAAGGCTGCCAGATCTAAGAAATCCTTCGGGAATCCAAACAAAGAGTGACACAAGACGCCGTGTACAGTATATATCAGACTAATGTAGAGTACACAACATCAGTGTTCAGGCAGCATCTGATGAGGTATGCATTTTAGCTTGAAACAGTGTACAGGTTTGCAACCAGAAAAGATTCATGGAACTCTGGAAGAACGGAGTTCAAGGAAATTATTACGACGATATACAAGTTACTAAGAGACTGAAGGGATGAGCAGGGAAAGACTGTTTCACAACAAAGGGATTGACACAACGGGAAATATAAGGAAGAGGTAAATTTAGATGAGCCACAGGAATGTTAAGAAATCTTTTTTCAGATCAAGGATGGTGAAAAGTGGAATAAGCTTGGAGAGTGAATATCTGGAGAGAGTTCCGGGGGTCAACGCCCCCGCGGCCCGGTCTGTGACCAGGCCTCCTTAGGTCAGTGTCCCAGGATGCGACCCACACCAGTCGACTAACACCCAGGTACCCATTTTACTGATGGGGAACATTGACAACAGGTGGAAAGAAACACGTCCAATGTTTCTACTCTGGCTGGGAATCGAACCCAGGCCCTCACCGTGTGAAGCGAGAGCGTTAACCACCAGGCCACCAGAGCCCCTTGATAGTGTTCCAATGATTGAAGGCAACAACGACGCTGGTTGATGTACGTGGTTTAGAAAGCTGATAAGTTGAACAACGAAATACTTGTGCAACATTTTGGAATTTTTATTATGGAAACCTTTCGCCAGCCAGTGGCTTATCCCGTCCAATACAGAAAAAACAGTGGAATATGAGGAAAAGTTTGAGGTAATCAGTCCTTCAGCCTGGAGTCCATGTGTTTAGCCCACATCGACTGACGGACTTAACATATCAACTTCAGGCTGAGCGATTGATTACCTCAAACTCCTCATCATTCATCGTTCTTCTCTGTACTGGACTGTAGAAGTAACTGGTTAACGAAACGTTTCCTCTATAAAGATTACCAAAATAAGAACATAAGAAAGGATGAACCCTGCAGTAGGCCTACTGGCCCACACTTGGCACGTCCTTATCAATCTCAAACCCACTAACAAAAATATTCGCCCAACCCATTATCAGTATAGCTCAAGGAATAATCTTTGATAACCCATTAACTCAAGTGCAAACCCCACTCATTCTTCAACGCTGTTTGATGTTAGGTTAAAAGATAGAGCGAGTCAGGGACAGAGATTCGATCCTGACAACTCACTGGTGAGTATACACACGTACACACACTCTCTGTCTAGTAAATTATAAAGTGAGGATCTGAGTGACAAGACACGAGAATTGTCTCGTCTCCTCAAAGTATTGCCCTAAATCCTCAGTGTATATTTTCTTCGTTGTTCCTTCTCAAGTGATCTTACCTGGACAATTCTTATAAATCAGACTTCTCATATGTTGTTTATCTTCCCGCTGGGCAGACCCAAGGAGTGAGTCAGCTCCGAGAATACCAGAGATGGAGTCTATAGTGAGAGTGCAGCGAGGTGCTACCGCCACCCTCCTCTGCCCTGCCCAGGGACACCCCACACCCACCATCACGTAAGTACCAGACCACACCATGAGAGGTCAACCCGTGCCACACCATACCATACTATCATATCATTTCATTATCTACCATATAATGCCTCACTATATCACTTCATTCAGTATCATCCTCTCCAGTACCAAAATCACACCTAGTAGCACTCGGTGAAGAGGCACGGCCAGGAGCTGAGTCTCGATCCCTGCAATCACAATTAGGTGAGTACTGCGTTATCTCTTGCAAACTGCCTGATTCAACAGTTCGATAGATCAAATTCTCATCTAGGTGGCCTGGTCACAGACCTGGCTCCGAGGTTCAGGATACCCTGAAGACCAGTGCCTCCAAGAAAATTTAGGGTAAAAATTAAAAAAATACTGCATTAAATAATTTAAAATCCAAGAGCTTTTTCGACATTCAAACAATTTTAGTAAACTAAAAATAAGATATTCATCCTTAAAAACAATTTTATAGATTCATATACATATATCATTAACAGAGCTGGGGCTCACCAGGACTCGATCCTGCATTACCATCTCCAGCCCTGTGAGAACTGAACAAAGTATGCATCCATCTATCCACTAGACCAACATTGCTTAAACACCAGGCGCTCAGCAGTACTGAGCGTGTTTTCCATGATGAAAGGACAAACGTGGTCGTGGAGCCTCAGACACTAATTTTAACCTCATCCTGTTTGGAGTACCAGCCTTCACGAGCAGACTATACAATAATGAAATCGACAAATAAGTGATTTTGAATTATACACACACACACACGCACACACACACGCACGCACACACACGCACACACACACACACACACACACACAATTGACAAGGTGGACAAAGACAGGATGTTCCAGAGATTGGACACAGTAACAAGGGGACACAGTTGGAAGCTGAAGACACAGATGAATCACAGGGATGTTAGGAAGTATTTCTTCAGCCACAGAGTAGTCAGTAAGTGGAATAGTTTGGGAAGCGATGTAGTGGAGGCAGGATCCATACATAGCTTTAAGCAGAGGTATGATAAAGCTCACGGCTCAGGGAGAGTGACCTAGTAGCGATCAGTGAAGAGGCGGGGCCAGGAGCTCGGACTCGACCCCCGCAACCTCAACTAGGTGAGTACACACACACACACACACACACACACACACACACACACGCACACACATGTACATACACACACACACACACGCACACACACACACTTCCCTCCTCACACACACCTTCCATTCATCTTCCCTTTCCTCCCCTGGCCTCCCCTAACCCCCCTCCCTCCCCACTCATTGTCCCTAGCCTTTTTCCCAGCATTCTCTCTCTCTCTCTCTATCTATCCCTCTCTCCGTCCCTCTCTCTCACACACAAGCTCCTTTCTGTGATAAAAAAAATGGGTAACCCAAGAGGGCGGAGACCCATGGGTCTGAAGGTCGAACTCAGGAGGGAGGAACCTGGGAGGAAAGACTGGGAGGTAGAGCTCACAAAATAATGGAGGAAGAGTGGGGAAGGAAGCTAGATGAACTCGGCAGGGTAATGGAGGAGAGGATGGCTGAAGAGAGCAGGAAGTGGGGACTACAAGTCTTTGCAGCAAAAGATAAGATTAAGTGCTTAGAAGAGGAGCTAAAAAAACTGAAACAGATTAGAGAGACAAATGACAGCACAGGAATGACATCAGGGACTTCTATACCAGTCACAGATGAGGGGGCTGTAGGGATTCAGGAAAAGATGAGTACAGGAAGACCAATCGTGAAGCCTGCAGTCAGTGCAGGAGACAAGACTTATGCAGAGACTCTAACAGTCAACTACAGTGGCAGGGAACAGCTGAGCAGGGAAGACAGTCCACTGAGCATAGGGGCTGCAGCAAGGGCAGGGGTTGAAGGCAGGAACGTCTCGATGGAAAGAGATGAAACACCTCAGAGGACACAAAGAGAGACACAGTGGGAGGAGGAGAGGGAGAGGTCAATGTTTGTCTACGGGCTCCAAGAAGTTGAAGGGGAAACCTATGATGAAAGAATCCAGGGGCAGAAGAAAGTGATCGAAGGTATCTTGAAAACAATAGGAGAGGGAGACATGACCCAGGTGGCAAATTTTCGGAGAATTGGGTGGTTTGCATGCAGAAGGAGATGGCCTGTCAAAGTAGTCCTCAAGGCAGAATCAGCTTGAACCAGGATCCTGCAGGAGAAAACACAACTGAGGGACAATTCAGAGTACTGGAGTGTGTGCCTCGATCGCGACAGAACACAGGAGGAAAGGACGAGACTGAGAGAGAGGGTACAAAAATGAAAAGAGGAATGGGAGGCATCGATGAGGACGAGCAGAACCCAGACTTAAGTGGAAGGACAAATACACCCTACAGAGATGCCCACAGAAGGACTCCAACCACAACAACCCCAAAGCAACTGAACAACCTCAACCAAAACCCGCACACTGTTCCCTCTGCCCCCACCCCTCACCACAAACCCCACCCACACTGTGAAAACCCCAATGCAGCTGAACAATCTCAACCAACACCCACACACTGTTTCCCCTATCTCCCCCTCCACATCACAAACCCCACTGCCACAGCAGCTCCCTACAGGCACTCTGCCCTCACCCTCCCACCACAAATCCCACCCACACCACAAACCCCCATAACCCCCCAACCCCAATATTCTCCCAGGTCCACTGTGATAGACAAGAAGCTGATGGTGTGGTACACAAACGCAGATGGAATAGCAAATAAATTAGGAATGGCATGAAAGAATCAACGAGAAATCCCCAGACATCATAGCAATCACAGAAACGAAACTCACAGAGACAATAACAGACGCGGTCTTCCCACCGGGATATCAGATCCTGCGGAAAGATAGAAGGAACAGAGGGGGAGGAGGGGTTGCACTGCTCATAAAAAACCGATGGAGTTTCGAGAAAATGGAGGGCATGGACGAGATTGGAGAAAGGGACTACATAGCAGGCACAATTTAATCTGGGGAACATAAGGTAGTCATTGCTGTGATGTATAACCCACCACAGAACTGCAGGAGGCCAAGAAAGGAATATGATGAGAACAACAGAGTGATGGTGGACACACTGGCTGAGGTGGCACAAAGAGCTCAAACGTGCAGACCAAAGTTACTGGTTATGGGTGATTTCAATCACAGGAAGATTGATTGGGAAAACCTGGAGCCCCATGGGGTCCCTGAAACATGAAGAGCCAAGATGATGGATGTGGTACTGGAAAACCTCATGCATCAACACATCAGGGACACTACCAGAGAGCGGGGGGAGGATGAGCCAGCAAGACTGGACCTTGTGTTCACCCTGAGTAGCTCAGACATTGATGACATCACATATGAGAGGCCCCTCGTAGCTAGTGACCACGTAGTTCTGAGTTTTGATTACATAGTAGAGTTACAAGTGGAGAGGGCAAAAGAAGTCGAATGGTAAAAGACAAACTATAAAAGCAGGGATTACACAGTTATGAGGAACTTCCTGCGGGAGGTGCAGTGGGACAGAGAAATGGTAGGAAAGACAGTAAATGAAATGATGGAGTATGTAACAACAAAATGCAAGGAGACAGAGGAAAGGATTGTTCCCAGGGGCAACAGAAACAATGGGAAGACCAAAGAGAGTCCTTGGTTTACCAAAAGGTGCAGGGAGGCAAAAACTAAGTGCATTAGAGAATAGAAGAGGTATAGAAGACGAAGGACCCAGGAAAACAAGGATATCAGTCGAAGAGCCAGAAACGAATATGCACAGATAAGGAGGGAGGCCCATCGACAGTACGAAAATGACATAGCATCGAAAGCCAAGTCTGACCCGAAACTGCTGTTTAGCCACATTAGGAGAAAGACGACAGTCAAAGACCAGGTGATCAAGCTGAGGAAAGAAGATGGGGAACTCACAAGAAACGATCAAGAGGTATGCTAGGAGCTCAACAGATTTAAGGAAGTATTCACAGTGGAGACAGGAAGGACTCCGGGAAGACAGGACAGAGGGGACACCAACAGGGAATAGACTAACTGGTGCTGGACGATATGCCCACAACTGAGGAGGTGAAGAAGCTGCTAAGTGACCTTGATGCCTCAAAGGCAATGGGACCGGACAACATTTCCCAGTGGGTCCTCAGGGAGGGAGCACATATACTGTGTGTGCCATTAACCACAATCTTCAACACATCCCTTGAAACTGGGCAACTACCTGAGGTATGGAAGACCGCAAATGTAGTTCCCATTTTTAAAAAAGGAGACGGAAAAAAGGCACTAAATTACAGACCAGTGTCACTGACCTGTATAGTATGTAAAGGCATGGAGAATATTATCAGAAGGAGAGTGGTGGAGCACTTGGAACGGAACAATATTATAAATGATAACCAGCACAGATTCATGGAAGGCAAATCCTGTGTCACAAACCTTCTAGAGTTCTATGACAAAGTTACAGAAGTGCGACACGAGAGAGAAGGGTGGGTTGATTGCATTTTCTTGGACTGCAAGAAGGCCTTCGACACAGTTCCTCACAAGAGACTAGTACAGAAACTTGAGGATCATGCGCGTATAACAGGAAGGGTACTGCAGTGGATAAAGGAATACCTGACAAGGAGGCAAGAACGAGTCATCGTACGGGATGAGGTATCACAGTGGGCACCTATGACGAGCGGGGTCCCACAGGGGTCGGTCCTAGGATCAATGCTACTTCAAGTATATGTGAATGATATGATGGAAGGGATAGACTCAGAGGTGTCCCTGTTCGCAGATGATCTGAAGTTAATGAGGAGAATTAAATCAGATGAGGACCAGGCAGGACTTCAAAGAGACCTGGACAGGCTGGACACGTGGTCCAGCAACTGGTTTCTTGAATTCAACCCAGCCAAGTGCAAAGTCATAAAGATCGGAAAAGGGCAAAGAAGACCACAGACAGAGTATAGACTAGGTGACCAAGGACTGCAAACCTCGCTCAAGGAGAAAGACCTTGGGGTGACCATAACACCGAGCATGTCTCCTGAGGCACACATCAACCAGATAACACCTGCAGCATACGGGCGC